GTCTCAGTGAAACCCCAAAACCCCAAAACCCCTTGAGGAAATAATTCATTGAGTATTGACATCAAATTTTAGTTTTAATAAAGCCAGTTAGTTTATGAAATTAACATTAACAGGAATCTCATTTGATAAAGGCTTACAATATTTCTCCTAATTTATTATAGTTCATAGGTTTCACTGAGACACCATTAAGATTTTCAGAGCTGATCATATCTTCTAATTCTGTCTCATTCATGGCTGTAATAGCCCAGATTGCACAAGAGGGTTAATTGTTGTTGAAAAGATTTACATTATCTCTAATGATCTTTCTTATTCTCTTCGTCATTTAAAGCCCGTCCATTTCTGGCATATTTATATCTGTCAATATGAGCTAATACAAACGGAAACAACCTTTGTTATGAACTTTTCTGAGCCTTTCCTCCACTAAAGAGATGGCATCCTACCCTGAGAAAGCCTAAAATATTGGTAAATAAGCTAAGAACTTACAACATCGCACTCCATTTTATAGCAGTGCTAGAGCATTAATTAAATTGATTTGACATTAAATGGATTATCATCAATAACCAAAATTCTATTGCAGCAAGGTTTAAAATCTCTCATCATCTCAAGATCGTAAGTTTAATATTATAATCTCTAGTATGCGTTTGATACTATAATCTCATTCTTTGGTACAATAGAATTTTTCTTGGCCATATATTTATTTTTCTCTTGATTTAGTAAATATACGTCCTTGGATTTTTCCTCCTCTTAAAGATCCCCCTAAAAAAGAGAAATATGTTTTTTTAGCATCTTATCATAGGATTTGGTCCTTTGATTTCTTTTAATCCTATTCAGATTTCCATCTTTCTTTTCTAGTAGAGTATTCAAATTTTTTAAGGTATGTTCCTCTAACTTCTCAACTAGTGAATTTTCTTTATCGTCCATTTTTTCATCATTAATGTTCATTTCATTATCAATTACAGATGTATCTAATCTGGCATAGTAACTTAATGAATGGAAACTTTGAACCACTTGTATCTATTCTTATGCCAATTGTTAGTCTTCAATCTCATGATCATTTTCTGATTCTTCAATTGCTCTTTGCCGATATGGAAACTCTATAGTGACAGTAACACCTCGTTTTGTATCAGAATTTGGAATATTAGCATTGTTTTCAATCAAAAGATCTCCTCCTAGCTAATTTATTAGTCTTTTGGAAATGTTTATTCCAAAGCCGATTCCATTTTGATTAACATTTTCTATTACAGAGAGGTTTTAAAACCATTGTCCAACTTCATTTTTGCTTGAAATACCAATTCCAGTATCTGATACTTTTATTTGCAATAGCTTTCTGTATTACTTGAGGGTATGCTCAACTACTACTTTCACTTGACCCTCTGGGGTATACTTGATTGCATTACTGAGTATATTAACTAGAACCTGCCCTAGCTTTGTATAATCTTGAAACACACTTTCTGGTATCTTTTTTCCTAATAAAACTGTGAATTTAAGACCTTTCGCATGAGCCTATGTTTCAAACATCCATGCTATATGTCTCATAAATTTTTCGATCGGAAAAACCTTATAATTGGGTTTAAACTCTCCAGTCTCTAGTTTAGAGTACTCCTAAAATTTTTATATAATTATATTCATTGACCTTACAAGCACATCATTAATTTAGTAGTTTAAAAGTTCATGAGTTTGTGAATCAATTTCTAGAATGTCCTTGACATCTCTTCTGTCTCTCAAAAGTTCTTTCATTATGTTATTATTCAACTATAATGCTAAGGAAGTAGGTTAAAATGTGTTTCTTAGTAAATTATAAAACTTACAATTTAAAGGAGTCCTCAAGGAATGAGAGATACTAGACAGAAAAATGTTCTTATATTTTTTCTCCAAGTTTGCCGCGAATAATTTTTCTTATTGGGATATATCCATAAATAGAATGAGATTTATTGTCACATTCAATATTCGCACCTTTTAGAAAATAAAGCTAAACGTGTCAGTGCCAATTTTAAACTTTTTTTAGGCGGAGGATTAATTACTTAGAAAGTTGTTATTATCACTGCTTTCAGATGCATTTGTATCCGATCTAATCTTGCTTACTCTTCCAAGCATTTTCCTATAACCTCCTCCAACTGAATTTCCATTATTCTTATTATCAATCAGATTTCTGAAGGACCCACATTCCTTTTTCATATTCATATCTATTGAACCTATTTCATCCTAGGTGATTAGAAGACTGTTATCTAATTCATCGAGATACTATAAATCTTGGGTTAATACTCATAAACTTGACTTTCTTACATTTATTTAGTCTTTTCCAAGTATTTCTAACATTTTTTTGTTTGAGTGAATAACCTTGTTATCTCTAGTGATAAGGATTCCGATCGGAAGTCTTTTGAAGATGCTCATCCATTGAAGATTAAGGTTTTTTTGCTCCACATAGTTTTTAAATTAGTTCCTTTTAATATCTCTGGCATCTGCTGAAAATTTAAATGCAAATATAGCAAGAGTTAGTACGGAAATCTTTGTGCTAATTGTAAGACCTATAATATTTTAGTATGTCTTGTCTCAAATAAATATGGAAATAAAAATAATGGTTATAGCTAAATTACTACTTACCAGAATTATTCATTGTGTTTAAACTAAGAAGGCCCCAGGTCATACCATTTAATAGTAGTGAGTCGAAATTAGTTACTGTCAGAAAAATATCAATGTAAATATGATTAATAAAAAATGCCCCCATTACTACAATATGTCTGAACATATCATTGATATCAACATTTTAGACTTAAAATTTTTAGTTACCATCTATTAAAGTTTAATTGGCGATACCTTCACAACCACTTTAATTATCTAGAACCGAATATTAATTAGGCTAAATATTGTAATAAGTGAGAAATCTGGTATGGGCAAAATAGGATAAAACGCCTATAAAGATTGGAACAAATCTGGTAAAATTATTGCTTTTTGAATGAAGTTTTACTGCTATAAAATAGAATGCAATAACAAGTAGATGGTAGACCAGCCTATCATAGCTTTTTTCCGTGTCAATAAATAGTCGCTTTCCAATGATTATTGTGAATAAAAAGGTCATTAGTTTCATGTATCTTTATGCGAATTCCCGACAGTGATCGATTTGAAAGTTAATTTCTTATTCATTTATATTTTGCTCAGCCTCTTCCTGGAAGAAACCATCTATTCCTCGAATGTCTTAAGAGTTTGCTTTTCAGCCTTGATTATTAGTTCCCTTAAAACTCTTATTACTAAATAAAGACTTTTTGCTTTGAGGTGATTTCTATCGATATTTAGACCCAAAATCATCCTATCTCCTCTTTATTGGGATATGTTTACTATCTGGACTAAGCAATTTGATTTTTTTACCAAGAAAACTGAAAATAGTTTTGAGCGGTGTATGGAGAGACATTATAAAAATTGAAAGCAGTAGTTGAGATATTATAATTTACTAATTCATGATTGAACTTTAAAGTTTTTAAATTCTATACTGAAGTTTATTTTGATTAATTTATCAATTTCTATGAAGAATAAACTTTTCGGGGTTTTGGGGTTTTGGGGTGCTTGGCATCTGATT